CAGATTTAAACAAGTTTAATTTTAAATGTGCCGTGTGTGTGTATATACATGTATATGTATAATTAATTATATAAGTATCTTATAAAAAATAAATAAATATATAAGCATGTGTGCAAATCTGAGATGTCTTTGAAAGACCCGAAAGAACCATGTTTTTAATGGAACGAGAGCTTCGTAAATCGTAGTACATGGTATATTTTATTTATGGGGATATCGCCATAAAAACCCTGTACTCTTTCCAGGTCAACGAAAAAACTCTGTACTTTTTTGTTTACCAATTAAACCTTATACTTGGTATGATTAACCAATAAAACCCCAAACTTGTTAATAATTCACCGAAAACCCCCTGCGCCTGCCAACTCAAATAAAAATGATGATGTGGCAATAACTTGGTTTCCAAGTTATGTACACATCATCAAAATTATGACACATCACCATTACAAACAAAAATAAATTACATAATTATTTAAATTAATTTATATACATATAAATTCACATATATATATATATATTATAAATTACATTAAAAATAATATATATATATATACATATTATTTGTTAATATATATTGTATATATATTATTTTTTAATATATAATGTATATATTAGTTATAATTACTTTTACATTTACGTACTATTAATGAAAATATTGGTATGTACATAATTATTTAAATTAATTTATATACATATAAATTCACATATATATATATATATTATAAATTACATTAAAAATAATATATATATATACATATTATTTGTTAATATATATTGTATATATATTATTTTTTAATATATAGTGTATATATTAGTTATAATTACTTTTATTTTAATATGCATATTAATTGTATATATACATATGTTATATGTATAACTAATATATATACATATACATATTATTTTTAATAGATATATTATATGTGTATAATTAGTTATAATTATTTTTATTGTAATATGTATATTAGTTATATATGCATATGTTATATGTATAACTACAATATATTACACACATAACTACAATATACATATATATATATATTGTATAGTATAACTAATACAACAAAAGTAATTATAACTAACATATACACATATAATGTATCTATTAAAAATAATATGTATATGTATATATATTAGTTATACATGTAATATATATATATATAACTAATATGCATATTAAAATAAAAGTAATTATAACTAATATATATACACTATATATTAAAAATAATATGTATATATATATTATTTATAATTATATTATAAATAATATATATATATATATGTGTTTTATTAGTTATAAGTAATTTTATATTTATATGTATATAAATTAATTTAAATGAATTATGTTATTTATTTTTATTTAAAATGATGATGTGTCATAATTTTGATGATGTGTACATAATTTGGAAGCCAAGTCATTACCGCCTCATCATTTTTGTTTGAGTTGGCAGACGTCGGGGGTTTTCGGTGAATTATTAACAAGTTTGGGGTCTTTTTGGTTAATCATACTAAGTATAGGGTTTAATTGGTAAGCAAAAAAGTACAGGATTTTTTCGTTGACCTGAGAAAAGTACAGGGTTTTTATGGCGATTTCCCCTAATATTTATTTATGTTTTATTTTAAATAATACTAACAATTATTTTTCCAGTTTCCTAGGTGATTTTCCGGATCCGGTGGATTGTTGGCGGGTTTTTCTGGGGCACCGCTCGCCGCCACCACCACCTTCTCGTCTTCCGGATCCGCCGGACGCGGACGCACCGCCGCTATTCCCAGAGATTGACATAACTCTGGAGGAGGTAGAGGAGATTTTAAACTCCTTCGAAACTCGCGAGGTCCCGCTGATTGATCCCGAACTTGACGGAGCGTTATGGTAATTTTTTAAATTAATTTATTTAAATAATTATTTTAATTATATTATTAACTAATATTAATAATAAAATATTATTATTAGGTTTGGAGTTAACGATAAAGAGTTGAGGAAAACATTTACAACAATAATAATAAGGTCTAATTTTTCTCAACTCTACTACTGTTGGGCGGTGGTACCGGAGAATATGAAACGTTCTTGGTGGCACTCGTTCATCGTAAGTTATTTTTTTAAAATTCATTTAAATAGAAAAATTTATCACTAACTCTAATTTTCTTTTATAAAGCAATCTTTTCGGTGGAAAAAAAAGTACACCGATAAAGTTTACAAAGAGTTCAACCAGCTTGACATGCAGCGGTTGAAACAAATGATGGACAATACCAAACGTCGTCATCAGCTGCATGGACTGCCACCGGAGTGGACAACAAATAACTTGTACCAACAACTTGTTGCGCATTGGAACTCGGACCATTTCAAGAATAAGAGTTCCAAGGCAAAACAAAGTCGTCTGGCCTAAAAAATCGAGGGTGATGGTCCTCATCGTCATAAATCATTCAAGAAGCGGCAAAAAGAGATGATATTATTTAAAACTTAATTTTTAATTTATTTTTTTAATTGAAGAATTTTTATTACATTAATAATTTTATTATAATATATATATATTAGGAGAAAGAAATGGGGAGAACGCCATCAATTGTAGAGTTGGTCGCTTGGTTTAATTGGTAAGCAAAAAAATACAGGGTTTTTTCGTTGATCTGAGAAGAGTACAGGGTTTTTATGGCGATTTTCCCTTTATTTATTTATAAAAATGATAGAGATAGAGGAGAAAAAAATAAATATTTATAAAATAACAATATCACGAGAATAAATTAACGACATGCAACAAATAAACAATATATAACCAAACGTTACAAATAAATAATGCATAACTCAAACATTGGTTGAGATATGATAAAATCATTTTCAAAATTTTGGATTCGATTTTATTGATGAACAAAGATGTAATTTATGGATCAAAATAATTTATATACAAAGTTTAATCCCTGGTCTAAGATAGATGTAGTCGACTCGAAGAATTATCTTGATTATAAAAAAACAATACATGATAAAGGTGACGTTACGTGAATATGTATATACGTATATGTATATGTGTATATATGCTTGCCATGTAGAAAATCGAAGCGCATGCACAAAGTTGGAGTCATGATGAGAGGTCACGTGACCAAATTGAATTTATTTCGTATCATATGGACCCTCTCTCTTGCGCCCCAACATTTATTTCTAATTTTTTTTGGTCCGTGTGTATATACTTTATCAGGCAAAATGTGCATTTACAATTCTTATGCTGTCTTTTAGGGGTTTGTAGATGAATGATACGTAGCTTATGATATGTATGTGTGATCAGGAAATATACATATATATATATATATATAATGGTCACAAAATATAATGGAATTATTACTGTTATTAATGATAATTGACTCATTGAAGTAAATAATAATAGTTTCCTATAATTTTCAATTAGAAAAAATATATATTTTTCTAAGACACTAATACAATAACAAAATCTAATTAAAACAAAAAATAATATATCTGTATACACATATAACTTTGTAGAATTTCTAATCTTATATATAATAATACTTATAAGACTAAATAATTAAAATGATGTCGATATTTCATCTCAATGAATTTATCATCCTTTTTTTTTTAATTTAGAAAACTCGTTCCTCTTTCAACTTTCCAAAACAATTATGCTCACTGAATTTGGATTACAAATTATATATCTAGATTATTTCTCAGTAATTTATAATAAATTGATCTAGATAACAATGACATAGACATGATTTTTATAACTATAATCGAAGAGTTCAGGCTTCTCACGCGCAGAGTGACCTTATACATACATGCATTACATATATACGCTGTACATGTCCCATCCCATGCATCATCATCCTACGTGCATATGTACATCATCAATAGGCACATTACATTTGTACATTCGTACACATACGCATGCAACATTACGGCACTAACCCCCCACCGTTATGTACCATGCATCACCATCATCGTCCACGTCATCACCATCATCATCGTCATGCCAACAAAGACTAGAGAGAAGAGAGAGAAGTCGATTATACAAAAATTTATTTTTATATAATTTTTTGGTTCTATGGTGGGAGATTATAAACCACATATATATATATGTATATATATATATATACGTTTTGCAGAGATTGCTTTGCGTGTTGGCTTTTCTTCTTTTATTGTTTCCCCTTTATATCCTGCAGATTAGCGTTTTAATCTTTAATTTAATATATTTTTTTTGTCAAATATTTTTTTTGTTTGCACTTGTTGGTAGTAACTAATATAATTTAATATATATTTACACGATTATAATTCGCATTTCGCAATTATGATTTTTTTTACTTGATATCATCTGTTTGTTCTGATTCATATAAGTCGATCCTTAGCCATTAATATTGGATCATAAGATCCAGGATTTTTTTTTAATCTTGAAAAATTTACAAGTTTTAGTGACAATGCAAATAAATAACAAAATAAAGCATGATTTTAATTTTAAAACTATCATCTAAAAACATGTTTAAACACCAGTTACACCACTAAGATTCGAATAAAATTTGATTTCAAAATTAAAGATCCTTAAATAAAATCATTCCCACCCCCAATATATTCGAAAATTATGTAATTTTGGAAAGGATCGTGCAATAACAGGATATTAACCATATTTTTTTGTAATTTAAAAGTTTATCGGTTTTTTAATCCAATTAAATTTTTAAAAAAATCAAGAAATCCGGATGAATATCCTTACCGTACAAAATACGTTGGATAGTTTTGTCCTAATCATGTAAGAACAATATCATTAGTTCGTTGTGTACCACAATGCAAAATGGGATGGGGACACGTGATGGTAAATGAACATTTTGTTTGTTATAAGAAAAAAATATTTATAGCTTTACTATCATAATGTAAATTTATCATTTTGTTATTTCATGGATACATGAGAAAAAAACCCTAAGCTTTCAGAGTTTCAAAGTTCAACCCACCTGCCGTTTCAATTTTCCCTCTTTTGAGTTCCTCTCTCCCTCTCTCTCCCTCTCTCTCTCTCTCTCTCTCTCTATCGGGAAAAAAAGTTTTCTTTTTTCAGTTTTTTTTGTTCTCTTCTCTCATAAAGAATCTCGAGATTGGCGTCCGAGACAAAAGACCCTTCTTCCCTTTGCTTCTTTAAACTTGCCTCTCTCTCTCTCTTATCTACTGCCCCTTCCTTTCCCCTCTCCCCCTCGCCATTGTTGTGCTGTTTCAGTTGAGGAAAAGGTGAAAAATAGAAAACGAAAAGCCCTAACTTTTCTCTCTTTCATCTCACCATTATCTCATGAAGTTGAGAGGAGGCTCTCTCCACCCAGAGAGCCTACCCTTGCAAATAACCCAGCAGCAACGACGTTAAGGCTTCATCCAAAAAAACACCTGATCAAAATCTAGGGATTTCTCGAAATTCAAGCCAAGCCCGTCTTTGTTTGAGTCGATATTCCATCTGGGTCACGCTTATTTCGGGGATTCTCTGTGAAAGAAGTGATTTTTTTTTATTTGACTGGGAGCTAGATATGATGGCGCACACGATGAACTTAGAGTCTCCTGAAAAAGGAATGGATTCGAGCAAGTACGTAAGGTACACGCCAGAGCAAGTGGAGGCTCTCGAGAGAGTTTACGCTCAGTGTCCGAAGCCGAGCTCTCTCCGACGACAACAGCTCATACGAGAATGTCCGATTCTCTCCAACATCGAGCCCAAACAGATCAAAGTTTGGTTTCAGAATCGCAGGTGAAAGGATAATCCAAGAAACCCAGAATCCTTTTTTTTTTTTCCAGTTTCTTTGCTACTTTTTTCTTTTTTCTTTTTAACCCTCCTGTTTGTTTTTGTTGGTATTTGGGAGAACAAGCGTACATATTCTTTTATACAATTTTTTCATCGTTCTTGAAAAACCATTTGTTGTTTATCTTCTGTTAAATTTCTGTTCTTTCTGAATTTATTCACTCTGACAGGTGTTCTTGGTATTTTTTGTACGTCTTTGATTCTTGTTTGGATCGCTAAGATCACTATGGCTTTAAATTTCCTCAGATCCATTCTCTTAATCGCCAAAGAAACAGTTGTCAAATGATTTTCTTTTGCTTACGCTTTCAAACAGTTGAAAGTTAAATTCAAAGACTGACATTTTCTGAAATTTCTTTTTTTCTTCAAAAGCCTAAAATGTTACTGCAGAATATGCCGATGACTGCCCCGTCTTTTGTTCTTTCTGTCATTTGGGAGTATTGCTAAAGCAAAAGCTTCTCTTTCCATTGTCCCGACATTCATTTACATATCATATTATTACCATCTTTTCTCTAGATTTCATGTTTTCTGTAGCATTCTAGCTTTTCACTAATAGATGATGAAATGTTGTTGTTACAACGCATATATGCATACATATGTATGATACATGGTGTGCTCATGTTCATGATGGCATCATGTTTTCTGCTGTTGATGGCATAGATGTCGAGAGAAGCAGAGGAAAGAAGCCGCTCGTCTTCAGACAGTGAACAGAAAGGTCAGTGCTATGAACAAGCTGTTGATGGAAGAGAACGACCGTTTGCAGAAACAGGTCTCGCAGTTGGTCTACGAGAATGGCTACATGAAAAACCAACTGCACACTGTAAGTTGACCTTCAGACAACAAATCCCAACACCAGTATTAGTGGGTGTATATAAAAAATTGTCTTATCTCTTTGGATCATGTTGATTTTTGACTTTGTTGTGTTAAAGTTCTTACCTTTTGAGGATTTTTTTTGATACTTTCATGATTGTAATGAAATTGTCTGAGACTTTGAGACCTGCCCTTGTCTCTGGATATGAAATGTGAGGTTTCTTTCTGTGTTGTGTAATGATGGAAATGAAATGTATGTATAGGCGTCTGGAACGACCACAGACAACAGCTGTGAGTCTGTGGTCGTAAGCGGTCAGCAACAGCAACAGCAACATCAACAGCTAAAGCAAAACCCAACTCAGCACCATCAACGTGATGCTAATAACCCAGCTGGGTCAGTCCTTTCATCTCTGTCTTCGTGCTTTTTTTTTCCGATTTCTCCTTATATTGTAACTGATGAGAAGTTTTTTTTGTAATGGTTTCAGTCTTCTCTCCATTGCAGAGGAGACCCTTGCAGAGTTCCTCTCCAAGGCTACAGGAACTGCTGTCGACTGGGTTCAGATGATTGGGATGAAGGTATAAACCGATACATAGTCAAAGTCTTCACCTTTTCTTATTTTCGCGGGAATGAGAATGAACTCGTTTTCGATTAACGGATGTAGCCTGGTCCGGATTCTATTGGCATTGTTGCCATTTCACGCAACTGCAGTGGAATAGCAGCACGTGCCTGCGGCCTCGTGAGTCTAGAACCCATGAAGGTAAATGGTTTTGTTTTGTTCTTCTCTCTTCTGGTTCAAGTGAAAACGGGGAGAATCAACAATTTCTCATTCCATTCCCAGTTCTCTGTAGGTTGCCGAAATCCTCAAAGATCGTCAATCGTGGTTTCGTGACTGTCGATGTGTCGATACTTTGAGTGTGATACCCACTGGGAATGGTGGGACTATCGAGCTTTTATACATGCAGGTTCGTTTCTTTGCCTCTATTCCCCGATTCATCCATATGATCAGATGGTTGCCGTTTATTATGACGTTTTCTTAACCACAGAACTTGTTGCTCTAATCGTTAGATGTATGCTCCAACGACTTTAGCAGCGGCTCGTGACTTCTGGACGCTGAGATACAGTACGAGTTTAGATGATGGAAGCTACGTGGTAAGTTGAATGTATGTACTGTTTTTTCTCTATCTCGGTTTTGTCTTTTACTGTCTTGGATTTTGCGTATATTCTTCGTGTGGCAATGCAGGTTTGTGAGAGATCGATGGCTCAAGCGATTGGTGGGCCGACGCCTCCCATGACATTCGTGAGAGCTGAAAGGTTGTCGAGTGGATTTCTCATCCGTCCGTGCGAAGGTGGTGGATCCATTCTCCACATCGTTGATCATGTCGATTTGGATGTAAGTGTGGATTGATCAAAACACAATCATGTCTCTCTGCACGATTTTCTCTCCGAGTTTGCGACTTTATCTCTCGGTTTTGATAGGCTTGGAGTGTTCCTGAAGTCTTGAGGCCTCTCTACGAATCTTCGAAGATTCTTGCTCAGAAAATGACCACAGCCGTAAGTTCAAATAGTGAACGGAGTCATGAATTGTACGATCTCTTCAGCGATTTTCTTAGTTCTTTGCTTTGGGTTTCAGGCTTTGAGGCATGTCAGACAAATCGCTCAGGAGACTAATGGAGAAGTTCAGTACGGCGGCGGAGGACGCCAGCCTGCGGTTTTAAGGACTTTCAGCCAGAGACTTTCCCGGTCGGTCTCTCTTTCGTTTCACCAATCTTTCAACCTCAAACTAGACGAATTTCTTATTTTCTTATCGGTTTTCCGAAACTTTCAGGGGTTTCAATGATGCTGTTAATGGATTTTCCGCTGATGGATGGTCGCCCATCGTTAGTAATGGATCGGATGATGTTACTATCATGATAAACTCATCCCCGGGCAAGTTTGTCGGTAATCAGTTCGGGAATTCTTTGTTTCCAAGCTTTGGTGAAGGCGTGCTTTGCGCCAAGGCATCTATGCTGTTGCAGGTACTCGTTGATTCCGATTTCAAGATTTGAACGGGTAGGAACCGACAAAGGAATCTGATTTATCTTTCGTTTTCACTGGTATTCTAATGTTCATCTTCGGGTTAATCTTCCTCAAGAATGTCCCACCTGCTGTACTGGTTCGGTTCCTGAGAGAACACCGCTCTGAATGGGCTGACCATGGCGTCGATGCCTACTCTGCTGCATGTCTCAGAACAAACCCGTTTTCCGTCCCATGCGCTAGAGCTTGCGGATTCCCAAGTAGCCAAGTCATTCTTCCTCTCGCTCAGACCATTGAACACGAGGAGGTAAAGAAACTCAGTACCCTCCTTTACTTGCTCGAGTTCATTCCTGTATGAAATATCGTCCTTGTGTTTCAGTTTCTTGAAGTGGTTAGGCTCGAAGGCCATGCCTTCTCGCCTGAAAACATGGGCTTGGCTCAAGATATGTATCTACTGCAGGTATTTTCATGGTTAATGCCCTAATATGTTTCAGTATCTCCCCTCTGAATTACTGCGTTTTCGCTGACTCGTTTCTTGGTTTTGATTATCCATCCAGCTTTGTAGCGGTACTGATGAAACCGCGGTTGGAGGCTGTGCCCAACTCATCTTCGCCCCTATCGATGAGTCATTTGCCGATGATGCGGCTCTGCTTCCATCCGGGTTTTGCATCATTCCGCTTGAACATAAAACAACTCCGGTAATGTGAATCCGACGAGCCACTCAAACCCAAAACATCACCTGAATAAACGACTTACGGAATCCCTTCTTTCGCTTTTGTTTTTTCACAGGATGGTCCCTTGGCAACACGGACTCTGGATTTAGCCTCGGCTCTCGAAGGCTCAACCCGAGAAGCATCGGCTGAAGCTGAGAGGAGCGGTTACAATCACAGGTCAGTCCTAACCATCGCATTCCAGTTCACATTTGACAGCCACTCAAGGGACAACGTCGCATCCATGGCACGTCAATACGTGAGGAGTGTCGTGGGTTCGATCCAGAGGGTGGCTCTGGCCATTGCTCCGAGTCTAGGATCCAATCTTGGCCCGTTTCCACTTCCCACTTCCCCCGAGGCTCTCACTCTCGTCCGCTGGATCTCCCAGAGCTACAGGTACCTAATTATCACCAATTTCCCGTAGAATATTTCCCCGTGATGCTGTTAAGTAAATCGACATCGTTATCGTAATCGCTTCTTTCAGAATCCACACGGGTTCGGATCTTTTCCTGGATGATTCACAATCCGGCGAGGCTCTGCTGAAACAACTCTGGAACCATTCCGATGCCATTTTGTGCTGCTCTTTGAAAACGAACGTAAAAAGCTCTTCCTACCGCTCGATTTTGCACGTTTTATACGATGATCGGATCATCGAGACGGTATGAATGAGGAAAAAAATTGTTCTTGCAGGCCTCTCCGGTGTTCACATTCGCAAACCAAGCCGGTCTAGACATGCTTGAAACCACGCTCGTGGCGCTTCAAGACATGATTCTGGACAAGACCCTCGACGAATCTGGTCGGAAAGCTCTTTGTTCCGAGTTCGCCAAGATCATGCAACAGGTGATTCGATAAGATCTCTTCCTGCACATTCCATAATCCATACCCTTCTTTTCCCGGAAAATCTTACTGTTTCCCGGGAAAATTTATCCTCTGTTTTTTTTTTCTCAGGGCTATGCTCATCTGCCTGGGGGAATTTGTGCGTCGAGCATGGGGAGGCCAGTTTCGTACGATCAAGCCACCGTGTGGAAGGTTTTAGACGACGATGAAGCTAACCACTGCTTGGCCTTTATGTTCGTGAATTGGTCGTTCGTCTGAAGAAAACGGCCATGGAAATGTGCCAAGAATGTAAGATAATGAAGTTAGTGTACTGTTATGCTTAAGATACTTAAAATGGAGGACTAAAATGTAATAACTCGTGACCTTTTGTAACGTAGACTATGTTATGGCAGGGTTTTGTGTGTTTTTAAATACGTTTTAGTTCACTTTCTAAAGTAGGTTTATTTATTTTTATTTGATATTTTTAAATATTTAAAATCAACTATAAGATATGTTAAAAAAAGCCAATTAAAAATCTATAATATTCTGTTTATTTTTTTTATTATAATCCCCCAAAAGTGCAATGAAAGTTTTAATATATATATATATGTGTGTGTATATGTCCTAAATTTTGCCATAGATTTAGGTGGAAATGAATGACTCATCATGGCACTGCGAATGTAATCAGAGGCTGGATTGTGATGAATCTTCTCATTAAATGATTTACATAATCATTATTTATCTATTTTTACTTATTTGAATTTGAATAGTCTAATCTTTAATAGGAAAATAGATAAGATGATGATGATGCTCCACTTTTGGAAGGGCTAATTTAATGTGAATGACATGCTTTAATTTTCTGGTAGGTTTACTGAGACAAAAAAAAAATACAGTAGTAATAATAGTTCGACTATTATTTTTGCTTTCAGAAAAACTTTATATCAAAAGAATTATTATCTAAAAAATAATTTATAAATAAAAATATTTTAAGCATTACTGTTATTATTATTTAAAAATCATTTCTTAAATTATTAAAAGAGAAATATAATTAACCGGACCCGAGACCGTTGATTCCGTTGGCAGATGGAAATAACAAAAAAAGTGAAAACAGAATAAATAAATGAAAAGCCACAAAAAATGGCTGAGTGAAAAGACAGTTGATTCTGTATTTTGTGTAAGAAAACTGCTCATTTAGTCAACATTACTGACGTCATCCATCAGACCAATATTTAAACTTTTTTTTATGAAATTTTAAATGGAATATTTATAATATATATTATGTAACAACTTATGTCAATTCACACACATCATACATGCATGAACACCATACACATGAGTACATGATAATTGTGGGGGACACAGGATACCGTGTTATAATCATAACGTGGAAAACATATATATATATATATACACATATTTTTAATAATGTGTAAACCAATGCTTACCATGGACCACCAATATCATGGATTGGGCTGGGCCCATATATATAATGGGCCTAAGGAGAAAATGTCAGTTTCCTCTCCCTTCGAAATCATGTCACAACAACAAATCATCGCCAAAGAATCGAAGGAGGGTGAGTTCAATCAGACAAAGAAGGGGATTTCGTATTTTATGAAACTACTGTTTTACAGACAGCGACCAAAAAAAGAAGACAGAGATCTGAAAGGGTTTCAAGTATCAAAAACCAATAACCCTACTCGCAAAATACTCAAGAACACTAGCGCATGATGTTCCTAATCACTGGTTAAAATCCCGGGATTTCACCTGGAAGAGGAGCCAACTCGTTCTTACTGAATTTCTCCTCGTCGTAGAACGAGGCTTGAACCACTCTTCCTCCAAAGTACCGGCCATTGAGGTCGACCAGGGCTTTAGTCGTTTCTTCGGATCTCGCAAACTGGACAAAGATTCTGACTGCTTGGTCCGAGGGGAAGTTGGGTTCCGTGATCTCGAATATGAGTACCCGAGTGACAGTCCCGTACTTTGAGCACTCAGACCCGACCTCATCTTCTAGTTCATCATCTACCTCTCCAGGACCAACCTTAAGGGCACAAGACAGAGAGACTCGAGTGAAGTGATGCGTCATTCATTTTAAGACCATCTTACAAGATCAAACATAGTTATGGCAAACACGAAGGATGATGTTCATTGTTCAGTGTTTCGAAGTAAAAGTTCAAACCGGAGTGTGAAGCTACCACTGTGGATACATGAATCAGTATTCTACAACATATATTAGTAAAGAAACAATCAAACATATGCGAAAAAGATATTAGGCACTGGACTGACATTTCTGCTATGCATCCTATTCATACTACATGATGAAATGCTTACTGTAAGGCTTGACAGCATTGATGATGCTTTTTAACAGCTCTAGCAAACACAAGGCAAAAACTAAGTTCTAAAATTACACTGCAGTTCACTAATAACATAAGATACGAGCTCCTGCTCCAGTCTCCAATCCAAGGAGCCAAATTTCATGACTATGAACATAGCTCAAAACTCAAAAGAAAGACTAATTTTCAACAGATTCCCAAGTTATCAGAGTTTGATCCAATGGCATAAACAGAGAAGAAAAAGGGCATTAAAGATCTACAGAAACTGCAGTTTCAAGTGTTTTCTATGAACATTTGAGACAATGATAGCTTTTGGGCAGAGCTTAAAACCAAGCACGGATATGCAGTGGAAGTACTGAAACACGTACCATGTTTCTAAGAAGCAAGACTCTAGTGGGTTCTCCATTGATATTGACACTCTTAACCTTCTTCTCCGTCTTGGACTCGCTCGCATTTACGATCACTCCTGCTCTACGATCCGTCTTCTTCGCCATTAATGGCGTCGTTATCCCTTGCTCCTGCTTCCCGAGCCCTTGCCCTTCCTTCCAACCCATCTTCGCCATCATTCTCTGAGCAGCCGTCATTTGCCCACCTGCTCCAACTCCCAATCCACTCGTCTCTGACTTTGCGATGTTGAATCCGTCGCTGTTCCCCGGAGGAGACGGAGATCTTCGCTTCCCACTGCTTCCACTCATGGCGGCGCGTCTCCTCCACGCTTCCTCGCCGGAGATGTTGAGCCGGGCCTCGTTGTGATCGCGCTCTCTCTCTCGTTCCCTCTCTCTCTCCTCTCTTTCTCTTCGCTCTCTCTCCTCCTCCTCCTGCCGTCTCCTCTCCAGCTCCCTCCTCATCTCGGCCTCCATAGCTTTCCTCTTCTTCTCCCTCCTGTACTCCTCGTAATCGTTCGGCCTCGCCGGATCGTACTCCTCCATCACCGTCGACGTCACACCCACCAACGCCGGCTGCGATGGCGATGGCGCCGCCGCGTCGTTCACCGGAGGAATCACCAACGGGGAGGAAGGAGGAGGCTTGGCGGGGGTTTTGGGCTTGGTCTGGGATCTTAGGACGGTCGGAGGAGCGAAAGCCGGTGGCTTACGGAGGGTGGGAGGAGCCATCTTGGTACTGCTTGACCAGATGGTGGAGTTCGTGGTGGGCTTGTCCTCATCGGACGGCGGAGGAAGGTCTCCGTACAATCCGCCGAGCATTTTGTCGTCACAGATTAGATTCCTCCCTCGTCACCTGATTTACTGCGGATCTCGGATGCAGGTTAGAGTTTCGAAATCAAGAAATTTGGAATCTGCCACGACGAATGCACGAAGGATCAGCTGAAATTAGGGTTTTTGGATGAGGAGAAAGGGAAAGTAAAAACGGTGTTCGTCGTCCGATTTTGCATTGTCTGCTGATGTGTGTTATCTTTATTTATTTTTTCCTGAAAATTTTGTCTTTTTTTTTTCTCTTATTACAATTTACAAAAATAGATCAATAAAATTCCAGAAAAAGGATTAAAACTTACAAGTAGAGAAAATAAATTATTTACCCCTTCGTAGAAATAAAAAAAAACACCTCATATAATATATAATTTATATTTGGGAGTAAATAATTAAAATATTTTAATATTTTTTTTATACACAGAAAATTGGAATAAAAAGGATTGGGTAAAGTCTGCAAATCATCTTTAAAGAGAGGGAGGGCTATGTAATGTGGGATGTCATATTCAAGTCATGTAGTGATATTGTTTTGTTGGGTTTAAGGGCAAACGAACTTTACAACACTGACTTCTTTTTAACCAAGAAGAAGAAAAGAAAATAATATACCCAAATATGTACCTTGAACACTTGGGGGTCAAGACTCGAGAGGTAAGGGCTGTGTTAAAAATCAAGCCAATGCTCTGAATAACTTACACTAGCTCTTCTCCTTCACGGCTTTATCGGTTTCCATCCTCGATGGTTCTTCTTCTTCTTCTTCTTCTTCCGCGGCCTTTGTCGCCTCCTCGGGTCCTGTAGGTTTCGATGTGTCCGAACCAGAAACTTCACCGCTTTCTTCTGGCGAGGAGGAGTTCTCGGTGTTGTTAACTTTTTCCTCTACGTCCATTTCGACCTCACCATTTCCCATAACCAGAGGAGGAGCTTCATCCGAGTCCGAGGTTTCTCTCCACTCAACCCAACCAGGCGTTTTCTCATCTTCTGATTTGTTTGCTCCGTCATCTTCTGGTTTTGTTTCCACCGACGGGGATGGCATTGCCCTGTCATCCGAGTCATTGACTTCTTCACCAATGACCACATCATCATCATCATCATCATCATCATCGGCATCTCCACCAGTCTCGGCCTTTGGAGAAGGGGACGCGAGAGGTGAGCTCATCGAGCGCTCCTTAGCCTCTCTTTCATCCTCAAACGCAAACCAGTTTGAGTTTGTGAACAGAGAACCACTACAGAAAAAACACCCGTTTTTACTCATTCCTTCTGAGCTAAGCAACTATTGGCCATGGCATTGAACAAAAAAAAGGGATAGAATGTAAAATTTTAAGTCGAATGTCGGAATTTGGAGAACCACTTTTACCTCTCTTGGTCATCTCCAAGGCGCAGTGACGATATGACGACTTCGGCAGATTCATCATCAAAGTAGACATCCTGCCACATCAAAAACTCCATTAAGAACTCTCCACAGTTCAACAAAGTGTTTTGTATCCACAAGAATCAGATGTTAACAAGCTAAATTCAAGCAGGGAAAAAAAATACAAACAAGATCTCTGTGAACTGACGTTTTTTATGATTTGTCTTCACAAAATTACTTCCTCCTACCAAAAGCTTTACTACATTTTCCTTTTTCTTTTTCGCAATCAAAACAAGGGAGCAGAGCTGGTAGTACAAGGGTAGCATAATGCAGATATGGCAGAGCTATAAACAATGAAAATTTCGGGAATTTTAGAACTACAGGCGATGCAATAATCACTAAGGAAGCATGAAAAGAGTTGAATGATTGTGATCTGTTCCTACATTTCCACAAGTAAAATCTTTCTGAAAGAGAAGAAAACAAAAAGGGATATCCCACAATTTATATAACCAACCTAAAATGTCCAGCAATTCCAATAAATATGAGACAAGGAAAGCTAGAAATACCTCGTCGTCGCGTTCCATGGAGCCTTGGGCCTGCAATGCATAAAATTATAAATGAGTTTGAGGAAGAAGGATAGCAGGATGGTCAAAAACCATCCACTGAACTCAACGTTTGGACTCTTGAGGGCAAACAAATTTCTTTTTGTAAATTGTTCCACAAGTTTAAGACATCGACAAAAGATTAATCATAATCGCATCTAGACATCATACTTTCAAGACAATGCACATGATAAGAAATCGATACAAAAAGAATCAATTCCAAAACACATTCGATTTTGATTTCCTCAGTTGTCTCTATACTGTATGCTGAGGTATTGCATAACTAACAAACACACGCTGCTCAGATCTTTGGCCAGAACCAATCATTTCTGATAGCGATATCAAGGAAACACAAGAATGCACCTCATCCATATCATCATTGCTATAAATTCCATATCGAAATGCCTGGCTCAAGTTATTTGCTAGGGCTGCCACATCATAGTCTCTATCCTGGTAATCATCATCATCGCTATCTCTAGTACGATCAAGCAGTGAAGTTGGCCTCCTGCAAAGAGGACAAACAATTGAGTACATGATTTATGAAAACACCAGCTCCTCCGTTTCAAGCAATATATATCATTTTAGACGAGTTTCCGAAAAGAAAGCAGCTTTTCTTCAGGTCATTTACCCTGAGACATGCAATCACATTCAGCTTTTCATCAGATTGTATGCCATACAAATACATGATCATAAACAATTTTTTTTACTCTTTAGCTTTGATCTCTAGTATACCACAAGATAGCTTTTAGTCAGTTACAAAAGTTGATGTCACGAGGTTTTATTACATGAAGACAACAGTTGGACAAAACAAGGGAAAAACACATACCCACAGGCCCACGAATACACATTTTCCAAGGTGTTACGCTTTGACAGGACATCAGTCTGCCATTTCGTCCACTCACTATTTTCCTGGTAAGAAACAATAGCACATAACAACAAAATAGAAGAGTCACGAACCAGATATTATGAGTTGGTTATCAATCAGCAGTGCCATACAACCGCTATACAGTCCATAAACAAACATGCTATATGGAAAGATAATACCCGTAAATGGAGTGAGCCCTGCCAAAAACTAGATTTAGATCTAATGGAAAGAAGCTTAGGCAATAAAGGGAATACATGCTCTCTCATCGAATACAAATTGTGAGCATTCATAAGACCATTCATACATAAAAGACGAGACCCAAACTTTCCATTCCATAGAGAAAACAACTACTTTACTGATAGCATGTGTGAACATGTAAATTGCCAAACAAAGATAGCCATGATGTGGAGAAGAACCTGCAAGTGCGACTGAATTTCTGTGTTGCTATTAGCCAGCTGAGTGAGTTTGTTGGAGATACGAGTTAAATGACCAATACTCCCTATCCTGGGTGGCTTTCTACCCTCAACAGGAACTGTTGGCTGAAGAAGAAATGTCCAGGCAAAGAAGTTACTACTGACTGGGGATTCCATAAAACAAAGAACCAAGTAAAACGTAATAGGCCCCAGGTGAAGACAATAGAAAGTAACATGTTAGTCGGGACCTTATCCAAATCAGCTGCCAATGTGGAATCCTTTTCTGCTTCTAGTATTTTTCGAACAAGATCACATTCACTAAGAATATGATCAAGAGGTTCAGTATTCTTGCTCTCCAAATATGATAGAATTACATTCTCGACGTGGTGATGCAAAAAATTATTGTATGGATACCTGAAACATAGTCATATCAGGCGATGAGCTACTGATGCAAAATAATTGCTGCATGAAGGAAAATCCCAACTTACTCAAAGAACAAGTCCAAGATTCTCTTCACACCCCCAAGTCGAATCACTTCCTTTTCTGCTGATTCACTACCGATTGTGAGTAAGACTGAGATGAACTCTACAATCTGGGCAAAGAAAAAAGAATCAACATTCCAGGTTTCTTTGATAATGACGGCATGAAAAAACCAGGGACATGAAAACAGTAGCACAACAGGGAGATATAACAAACATCTACAGGGAAACACATCAAGCTTTCTATATATACACAGAATATACCTTCAGACGGTGTTTTCCAAGAGGTGGCTGCAATTTTCCATATGTAGTCAACAAAATGCCCTCATCAGATGAAACATTCAAAAGGTGAAGTAGATCACCTGCATATAAGCAACATTTTCACATAAGTATTGAAGCAGTCAAGGACAAACTCATTGCAGCATACAAAGCACACCATAAAACAATGTAAAGACTAAATAAAAGTTGCCTCAGAAATTGCCATAACTAAATTTCCTATGTAGATAAAAACCAAAAGCAAAATGGTATCTCTGCAACTCATTTGAAGGCCTGCAGACTTAATCACAGCAAGGAGTAAGCATAGCTCTTCCTAATTGTGACAGCAATAGAAGCAGAGGCTCATAAGAAAACTGATCATGGTAACAGGATTCAACTGAAAATAAAAAGATAACAGTCTTCCTTTCCACCCAACTATGCCCCTCACAATTACAATAACAGCGTTAATAAACTCAACTCAAGACGCATCAACATTCAACACACAGGAAATCAGAAATTCTTGGTATTAAAGCCCTTTAACCAAAAATTTTACTCACCTAGGTTCCCTAACATTCCATCCACAGTCTCAGGATTGGTGACCATGGTTCCATGGGTTAGTTGATGACCATATATATGATATGCTCCCAATGTAAACCGCTTAGGATCAAGCAGTGAGATGCAAACAGACAATGAATTGACCAGAACAGACTTGGGCCGTGTAACTTCCAAAGCATGTTGAAACAGCCTCCTGATGAAGCTGTAACAAAATGTGCAAAGAATCAATAACAAGACAAAAAAAAAATAGAAACACCCACATATAATGTCTGTTAGGAAAATAGTACGTGGCAATCAAAAACTTGGTTTACCTTGGACTCGAAATTTTTGCACCGAGACCAGGGGGTGCAAATCGTGTTACTGTACATAATATTTCAGCTGCATTGGCATGTACATCAGGAGAATCCTACAATACACATAGAAAATAGTTCCTAGGTATCAGTACATACATGAAATAAGACTAGCCTATTTTAAAAATAAAAGTAGAACATGCAACTGAACAAAACTCACAGAGGAGCCAAACTTGTCCACAATCATCTCTAAAATATCTGTATCCTCTATCCACTGCATTGCATTTGTGTAGTTCGTATACAAATGCTCATCGGTGCCGATCAGACGTTTTAAAACCTAAAGAATAAGCGATAGGTCAACATAGATGACACACACTTTATGAAATATTTAAGTTTGTTTCACAACACACAGTAACTTATGTAAACCAACCTCCATAATTGATGTAATACCGATTAGATCAACAAGCTGCTTAAGTATTTCTTGATGATCCTGGAAGCAAAAGGTAAAAGTAAGGTTTCAATGCCAAAACCTGAACCTCGCAAATCCCAGATGGTATAGTGTTTTTAATGCATCACCGAGCGGCAGTCATCACATTTTGCACTAGGCAGTTACAGCTGATGCCAATGCATTAAGAAAGTATCCATGCTCTTCCATTTTATGTAAAGCAATGTGAATCTTCTGTTAACTTGTTTTTTACTCTTCAAAAGGCAATATCTAGATCCTTGAATAAAATGCTCAGGAAACATCCCTGATTCATAACAATGCGGCTTGGTAAAGGTTTAATTCTGACAACCAAAATGCTCCAATGACCCTGATCATAATCTATATTCCCTTAACAAGGTGAAGAAAACAATACTAATCAAACTCGAGCGAAGTTCTGATTTCCATAAAATTACAAGCTTAATTCAGGAAACAAAATTCACTTACTTTAACAAATTGCATAAATGGAACAGTCTTCCGAACCAGCAAACAAATGATAACCTAGCAGCAGAAGATAAAAAAAAATGAATACAACTGGGAGAAATCTGCAAATCTCAAGAAAACAAGTGATTTGATGCCCAAAAACAATGTCAAATATCTGTACCTTGCTGAAGTACGCAGCAAGTGATGTGTCATGAGCTTGTTTAGATTCCAAAAAGGAAAACAACAATATCATCAACTGCAACACAATAGACATAAAGGGAAGTTAGTAGAATAACTCTTTTCAACATTAGACAATTAGAAATGAATAAAAAATTAGTGTTACCTCCTCATCCTCCACCAGTGGTTTGAGAATCATTTCTATCTCACAAGTGAAGATTTCAGAGGCAATGAAAGGAAACCTACAGCAGAGTTAAAAGACATCAAGCATAAGTTCAGAAAAGGATTGACCAGCAGCAAAGCAACCACATTTTCCTGACACCCTACTTGAACATGCGTTTATTCTCTGCATCCTCAGGAGGCTCCTCTATTATGTATTTAATAAGCTGTTCCACCTGCGTCTTTTCTCGCAAGCTGCAATAATGGTTGAGGCAGTATCTCCAGTGAAAGGTAATACCATCTAGAGAGTGAACATAAAATACAATCCAACATTTGTGAACAATAGGACATCAGGGTTTTCACTACAAAAAGGAAGCTCTACATGAATATCCTAAGAGAAAAAAGAAGGAGAATCTAAAGCTATATGGAAAAACTTTCAAGGTAAATATCCCCCAGAATGAGAAACATAATCTACACGTAACACATTATATACCCGAAGGCAATTGCCCTGTTGTCTGCATTTCCTCCTCCGATAACAGAGAGGGAGCAAGTAATAACAGAGAAATATGGTGACAGAAGCATACAAATTTAAGAGGCGCCCATTCAGGGCTTTGCACTCTTGAATAATTTCATCCTCATCAAGAAGTTCCTCCAGTGTGAAACCTTCTTTGTCCAAAATTGTCTCTACCTGCAAAACAAAAAGCGTTAAAACATCAGAAAGAACAGAGACGAAATGACTGATGCCTGAATCAATACACAGCACCACGGTAAGAACATTGTAAGACGAGAACAACCCCTCAGATATAAGATATCAAGAGAACAGTCTTTCTGATACGACGTAAAATGGGATAGAATTGGTGATATATTTGAACGTCCTAGCAATATGCCCAATAAATTTAATAAATTTCACTGGACAATGCAACGTAAAATGTTGGGTAAGGTCTTTCATCATTAAGATATGTTCGCTTACTCTCAAATGCCAAACAAACTGACTGTAAAAACAGCTCGAACTCAGTTATAAGTAGGAAATCTCGTAGACGAATACACTGCCTCACTCATGAAAGTAAACAAACTCGAGCTTCCCCTAATCTGGAAACAAAACTGCAGACCCCAAAAAGCATATGAATTCACGCCCCTCAAATTCATGCAATAAACAGAAGAAAAAATATATCATGGAATCGGAAAGCAAACCCACAAATCCGGAAATGCTCAAAACGAAGACAACACGAAACCCGCCCAAGATAGAAAGAAACAGAGGTCAGCGACGAGTTAACTCACGGGAGACGCCGTGGACAATCCCGCGATTCGCCAGAACATATTGCCGCGAGCTCAAAAGCGCCGGGAATCGGATCTTCGAAACCCTAACAAAAACAGGAGGAAACAATCCGCCAACCTTGATCCCGCTATTCAAGAGGAGACGAGAGCATCCGACCAGTAGAACTCGCGATCGTAGTCAAGCAAAAAAATTTCGCAGAAATTCGATCTGGGATCTCGAACAGACGATGAGAACAGCGATGAAGAGCACCTTCAATCGCGGAAAGAGGAAGAGAGTGCTCGGAGACGGAACCAAAAAAAAATGAAAAATCAAGAAAATTAAAATATTATCAATGTTTTTTTGTTTGCCACAGAGAGAAGGAAGAAGTGGTCGGTGTTAAAAGGGGATGCGCGTCGATTTTCACAAACAATAAAAAATAATATGAGATGATTTATTGAACAAAGAAATATATATTTTTGGTTTAGCAGAAATAATAATAAAATTCCAAATACCAAAAGCGGCAGCTGTAAATTCTCGAAATTTTCAAGCAAGAATTCAAACGCTTTAAAATTTTATTTTCAGAAACATGAAAACATCTATACCGGAACCGGCCGCGGACACAAGAGACGAACGCAGACCAAACTGTGGCTCGAAATATAACGAAGGGCTTTTATTTTGGTCTCTGAAACATCAGGAAATAGCACATGGATTCAAGGACAGGACATCTTTGTAAAAGACCGTTCAGAATAAGTACAATAATGATATGATGAATAATAATCGGTTCTGCGGCTGAGTCGGGAGGTTCTTCACCAATCTATACCCAATTTGTTGGAGACGAACAGTTTATCAATGTATGTGATTACTGGTGCCGATGCCGTCACATAGCTTTGCATCTGTATCTTAGCTGATGTCTCTGAAAATATCCATAAAGATAGAGCGATGAATTCATAGGTGAAAGAAGCAACTCCTACAAGAATCTATACAGCTTGCGAACGAGCTGGCTCGGGAAAAACCCGACAAGAAAAAAGGGCAAGACAGTGAAATATCGAATAAACCGAACCTAACGACCTAGGACGTTGTCTTGGGGATAATGTACGAAGCCGAAGTTACTCTAGAACAAGAGTATAATTACTATACTCTTCAGTCTCAGGTCGGGGGGAGTAATACAGGTCAACTAGGGTTATCTCCATTTATCTCACCCTTGCAAGCTGATCTAGGATTATCTAGTTACAAATCATTTTTGGAATGGGTCTGACTAGTAATGAAAAGAATATACACTACTATATTACCAGAGTATCAAATGAGTTGAGAGTCTTTGGTCACTCACCATCCTCGTTGAGCTTCTTCAGAAGCTGAGCTCTCGTGGGAAGAGCATACATCCCTGCAGCAACGGCTTTCCGTATAACCCACCCGTGGTGGGGCGCAAACACTTGCGCATAAGCCTTGGAAGCAGCATCCTTTAAAGAGTTACCTCTGCAAACAGATATTAACAAGTGGTTAACCTTCTGATTTTCATTCAAGACACCAATCTCCTTTCACTCGGCCATTTGCTTAATCAAGACACCGATATGTTTGCATTGAGAAAGGCTCAGTGCATGAAGAAATATCCGGATCAAGCGAAAAATGTCTTAGTAGCATTAATAACTAACTTTCAGGTCAGTGTTTTAAACAATTCACCATGGAAATTGCAAAAAAAAAAAACAAGGTACAAAGGATTCCGTTGGCAAGTTTGATGAATCTTAACGAAGAAAGATTGATTGAACTAAAAGAACATCCAGAAGAATACTTTACTCGGTAGCAATAATCTGCTCAAAGAGAACCTTGACCATGTCGATCCCACGCTTTACCCTCAAGAGGTTTCTCGTGTGACCACCCGCTTTCTTGACAGTGTTTGTCTCAATGTCCTTGTCAAGCATTACTTGCAATGTTGATATTGACTTTGATGCCTCGACAAGATCATCAACCTGCGACCATTAATCAACCAAGACATCCCAAAAGTTAATGAATCAATAGAACTCACAATTAGTTTGTAAGCTTTCTCTTTAAGAGAGAAAAAAGTTCAAAGGCGAACCTTTAATACTCTAGATCTGAAATGCATGAACCTAAGCAAATTCAAACATGGATTCCAAATTGTTCAAGCCTCTACAAAATATGGGTTTTCGAATGTTTTTGCATTTGATAAGATAAAAATCAGGAAGTAAGTAGGGAAAAACAACAACTGGAGGTCACTTCCCACTAGTTTCAGATCAATGAATACAATTAGAAATCTATCAGAAACTCTGTAACTTGGATTTCGAAAGACTCTGAACATTGTCTGTGTCGCTTTCAGCCAATCCGAGAAGAACCAAATTCCACTGCTAAATTTTCATATTTGATCGGTTGAGCCTAGTGAAAGCATGTAAATGAAGAATGTCCTCCTCGGGAGCCAAACATACCTTCGCAACGTACTCCATCTCGGCGAACTTGAAGGCGATACCAAGGCAACCGAAGAGAGGCGAGACAAGAGAGCAAGCGTGCGAGAACTGCGCCACTTGTACTTCAGGTCTCGGCGAATTCACGGCGGAGGCAAGTTCCTTGAACGCATCGGCGATCTTCCTCAGCGGCTTCTCCGTCTCCGAACCCGCCATCGCCGGTCTCTCTCTTCTCTCTCCCTCCCCCCTCTCTCTCCAAGTCGATTTATTCTACAATCGTTGCGACTGTTGATTGCCGCGGAATCTACTTTCCTGCGAAATGACTCAAAGGTGAAGCTGATCGAATATTGTCGTCGTGTTTGGCTGTCGAGTTAATTTAATCCTTCCCCGCGATAATGTTAACTTATCACCGTCCTTGTTTAGAGATATCCCTGCATGGAATTTAATTAATTAATTTATTTTGGTGGGATATAAAATGCTAAAAAATATTTTTTAAATGAAAATATGATATGTTTTTTTTGTAAGGTTAGGTATTTTGGTTGGATATAAAATGTTAGCCGAATTGATTAATATTTTTTGGACTGAAATGTGGATTAATGTTTCTCTGTCTTGTCTTCTGTCCGATTATATTTTTTTATTACATATTTTTTTGGTAAATTGTCTATTATAAGTTCTATTGCAAACAGAAAGAATAATATTTGCTAATGTGGAAAATAAATATTTTATATCCGGATTCCGGATATTTATTTATTTATTTTTTCAATTTAAACGTTAATATTGTTTCAAACATCATTTTTATGTTTAACCATGTCTAGAAGTATAACTAAAATTCATAAAAATAACTGTGTTTTAAAACTCGTCAACTTTGTTTAAATTAGGTTAAATTATTTCGGTTCGATATTTTCGATATATATATATATATATATTTCTATTAGTTATTAATTCTGATAATTTATTTACAAAATTATATTTCAGTTATTTGAATTTAAAAATAGTTTCACGATTTTTTTTTTTAATTTTTTCTAAAAGTTCAATCTTTTAGAATGGAAAAATATAGAAATCTCCAAAATCATTATTGGTATCTGACGGACTACCGATCCCATTAAATTGGAATTAAGAAGGTGTTATTGTTGTATATAGGATAAATATGGTTGGAGTTTTTAGAATCTAAAAATTAAAAAAAATACCATTTAAATTTTTATAAAATTATTTCTCTATAAACTTGAAAAGTCATTTTGGTAAAAAAATAATAATAAAAAATCAAAAACTATATTTTTCAGATTTATAAATATTATAAAATCGAAAAACTAAAATCTAAAAACTAAAAATTAAAATAAAAGTTTCAAAATAAAAATCATTCTCATTCAAAACTATAATGGTGTAGATAAGATAAGATAATAAAAAATTAACAATATTTCTTTGTTATAGTTTTGTTTTTTACTTTAGAGCCAAGCAGGGTCCTAGCCAAATTGGGAAAAAAAAATATAACACCATTTTAAAAAAATGGTTTTACAATTTCCGCCATTTCTATTTTTCCTTTTCACAAACTCCATTCTCTCTCTCTCTCTCTCTCTCTCTCTCTCTCTCTCTCTCTCCAATTATCAGATTTGTTTATATTTCCATTCCTTCTAGAACAAAACAAAGGTAATTGTTTATTTATTTTATTTACTAAAATATTTACGAGTCCTCCCTATAACTACTATTTTTCTTCATGAAAACCCCGCATGTTACTTTTGTGTATGTCAAGTCCCCCACATTGTTCTCATTATTTTGTCTTCACCAATAGTGAACCCTGAATCCCCTACACCTAAGACCGTAACTACTTATAAAATTACTACTTAAAAATAATTTTAGAATAATTTAAAATTTATATTCAAGGTAATAAGTCAATCTCTTAAAACAATATCGAAATTCAATTTTTAAAAATGTACAAATAAAATATTTAATATTTTGTAAAATCTATTACAAATTAAAATTTTATTTTTATTTAAAGTCATTACAGGTTATCATTAAAATGATTGATGAAAATATATATTCCGGATGAAATCGACATGTTGAAGATGAGATGAGAGACATATCTTCAAATAGAATGATAGGATACCCGAATTTCGGGTTTATTTCTATCCGTATAGTACAGGTACTTTAATGACAAGAACACAAATATAGGGGGTTACATTCGGGAAAAGTGTATAATATTGGGGTGTCTTTTTGAGTTTCCCAAGACATGCGTACACTCTGTCCCGTTTACTCGTTGTAGTGTACTGCTACTGCTCCTTTGCTTTTCTTTCATTTTCCCTTTGTTTAATTTTCTTCCTCGGCAACCAATCACTCTCTCCAGCTTTTTATCTCTCTCGCCACGCTTCATCGCTCCAGTCGTCTTCGCCTCTTTTTTTTTTCTTGTCTGTTTGGTAAAGCACAAAAAATCCCTAATTTTCGGTGCGACGAGCGACGACGGTTTCGTTTCTTGGTTCACTCAGATCTACATATCCGTTACAACTCATCGGTTTCTTCGGGAATTCCTCAGTTTCCTTCGTCTGCAACCGCCGGGAACTTCGCCGGAGTCTCGCCGTGGAACTTGCATTCTCCGGCTGTTTGCATTGAACCGGGGAAAATGGGTTCTTTCGTTTCTTGGTTACTTCTTTTTAGCGCATAGTTTGAATTTGGTGAGTTTGTTTTTTGTTCTTTTGTTTCTTCGCATTCTTAGTGGAGTTCGAGTCTTATCATTTTCAGAAATTTATGATAGTTTGTGATTTCGAATTCTATACCTTTATTTTCCGAATTTCCTGGTTTTTTTTTTCAGAAAAATATGCGTCAGCCATTTTATTTCCTCGAATTTTCTTTTGCCAGATTGGTTCTCTTTCCAAAATTTGTCGGACCATTTGTTTTGTTGTTTTTTTGCGTGTTTTGGTTGTTCCAAAAATGGGCAAAATTGGTAAGGAATCCACAGTGTAGCTGAAAGAAGTTGGAAACGTTACTCTTTTTTCTTTCAATGGTAGACTCTACAAGATACGTAACATCTCTAACTCCGTCATGGTTCGATAGGGGAACACGCAATTTTTCTAACACTGTCATGGTTGGATAGGGAGATAGTACAAGAAAAATCGTTTCTTTTGTTGTCATGTTTCTGAATTTTCCAGCTTTCAACTGACATTCTTTGGATGCTTCTCATCTGAAACGTCAATATTGACGAGTGTGGGTTATTATGTGCCTTTGTTTGATCTTCCAGGATATACGTTTGCATTGAGAGCTTCAACTAGTTTTGAGTTCTAAATGGAGGAAGCAACAGCAAATTCTGGCGGAGGAACTTTAGAAATGTTGGACGATGCCAAGAAACAGCACAATGTATCTACAATTGATGGGAGGAGAAGTCCAGAGAGTGTCTCGGAAGTGTCGGTGGTGTCAAGTCATACTGCTACTACTAAGAAGAAATCAGACATCGTCTCGAAATTGACAAAGCCAACTGTATCTTCCTCTTTACGGGTCTCGAATTCTGTCCCTGTGGCCAGGAGAAATAGCACTGGAGGAGTACCTGGCAGGCCAAATGGTGTCAACAAAGTTATGGCGAAAGGGACAAGTACTGCTTCAGCTACTGATCCAGTGAGGCGGTCTCTTCCGGAACTGAGGAGGAGTTCATTGCCGCCTTCTGCTTCCGCAAAGTCTGAATCTAGAGCAAGCATTCCTGAGACTAGGAAGTCTATCCCAACTTCACCAGCTGGTCCGAGTCTGACAAAGTCAACTGGGTCTTGTGTAAGTAAGCCAGATATAACCAACAAGTCTTCAGGGAAGCCAGCTACAAGTGTCTCCCTGTCTTCTAAAAGAGTTCCATCTTCATCCGTTGACAGTAGTGGCAGCACTACGAGCACTGCAAGAGTGCGTTCTGCTCTCACTACAAGTGGAAAGACAGACTCTAAGGTTTCTTCTCCTGCTGGATCAACATCTGTCTCTAGTGGTTTAAGAACTCGAGTACTGCCTACGCCCCTTGATCGGAGTTCCAAATTTTCTGGGAGGAAGAAAACAGCTACCCCAGAAAGCCGTGATTCACGGCTCGTCATTCTCCCACAGGTTGAGGTTAAAGCTAGCAATGATGTGGTAAGAACTTCCTTATTGTCTTTGTTCTTGTTGCTAGGTTTTATACATGAGGTTATGCTGTTGGCTTTACTTTGTGAAATTCTTGTTCCTCTTCTTTAATTTGTTGATTGAATTGTTAGTTATTTTTATTTCTCAAGAGATTGGATCTCAGAGGCCACAGGATTCGCAGCCTAAATGCCAGTGGGCTGAACTTGTCGCCCAACCTTGAGGTAAGCTTATGTTCTTCTGAGATTCTGCAGAGGTCTAGTGCTGAGCTTTATGGACTTCTAGGTTTTGGCCATGGAAGGGAGAGTGCTTGTAGAATAACTGTGAAACTTCATGGTATGTTTTTCTAGGGTGGATATGCTGAATCTTGGATTTGAATAGCAATAAGGAAGATTGATGTAGAAATAGTAGAGTAGTTTGTTGTCTTGGTTTTGTAGCATGTAGTTATGAACTATTCCTATGCTTTGCTCAGAGAGTTTAGCTTGAAAGCTGGGGAAACCCCATCAGGAAAAAGCTCAGTATTTTGGACATTATATATGTTCTTTATATGCTGATAAAGTTTTCCTAATCTATTTAATTTTAACTTGTATTTATTTTCTTCTATCGCTGCTTTCAGTTTGTGTATCTTAGAGACAATCTCCTCTCTACGTTGGAAGGGGTTGAGATATTAAAGCAAGTCAAGGTCAAATATCTCAGTTTTTGTTTTCCTTTCTGATTTCCAGTTCCTCTAGCTTTTCTAGCAAATATATGTATACTTTCTTCCTTTCAGGTTCTGGATTTGAGTTTTAATGATTTCAAAGGGCCTGGTTTCGAACCACTTGAGAACTGTAAAGTGCTACAGGTTTTCCCTTTCGTCCTCATACCAACAATTTTTTTTCTTTTCTGGTTCCCTCATTTCTTTACTTATGAGTGCTATATGATGGATCTTCTAAATTTTACATTACTTTGGTAGCAACTTTATCTTGCTGGAAATCAGATCACCTCACTTGCAAGCTTGCCTCAACTTCCGAACTTAGAGGTAAATATTAAAAGAGTTCCTCTTTTCTGCCAAATTTACTGTTTTTAAGTTGTCAAATTTGTAGCCCTTCTCTCGTGGATTGTCATTTTGATTTTTTCAACGTTTGGGTTTTGCTTGATTCCCATACTAGTTTCTCTCTGTTGCTCAAAATAAGTTAAAGTCACTTGCAATGGCAAGTCAACCTCGACTTCAGGTACATTTTCCATTTCAGAAGGCTGTTAACATTCCATTCCTTAAGTCATATGGTTTCAATTTATCAAGATTTTCTCAGGTATTAGCTGCCAGTAAAAACAAGATAACAACACTGAAGGGCTTTCCATATCTACCAGTTCTTGAGGTTGGAATCCTTATTTATCTCATTACATATTCTTGACCCTTCAAGTTTTAGTGGTCGGTGAGGTGATTGCTTGTACTATTTTAACTAATAGATCTATGTAAGCGTTTCCTCCTTTGACCAAAATGTTGTTCCTATGACACATTTTATCATGGCATGGTCTGCACGGGTCATCTCAAGCATGTTTTTTTTGGTTATGGTGCTTGAACCATGGTCTCTGGACCCTGTAACTACAAGATAAAGGATATTAGTTTTTATCGAATTCAATTATACAAGTTTGTAGTTTTGTGTTCTTGATTTTATGTGTTTTCTCTTCTGCAGCATCTACGTGTGGAGGAGAATCCATTACTTAAGATGCCTCATCTGGAAGCTGCATCCATATTACTTGTAGGTCCCACCTTGAAGAAATTCAATGACAGAGGTATTTGTAACTAGACCTGACTCGGATTGATTATTTAAGGATACTTGTTCTTACCCTTTAACCAGAGAAAGTTGGCTGGTTTGGTAAACTTGCTGCTCATCTATGAGCTTTAAAAGAGGTTTGTCTCTTGGTGCGTGGAACTCGAAACTGAGCAATATCTCGGGGAAGGAGTTATGAACTATTTTAGCTTTACATCAATGGAGATATAACACGACTTGTCAATACTGATTAGTCTTTTAACCTGAAAATTTTGGGATAGTGAACATTCTGGTTTTATCAAGGCCATAATTATCACTCAATAATAGATGAGATAACTATATATGAAAAGGTATCACTATGAGCAGATTTTACTAAATAAATAAACAAAATTTTATGAACCAAATCAATTAATTCATTTTGGACTTATATGTAAGCCAACGTATGTATTTCCAACTGAAAATTTTCACCAGATCTCTCTCGCGAGGAGATAGTAATCGCGAAGCGTTATCCTCCACTAGCAGCCCTCTGCATCAGATATGGTTGGGAATTCTGCAAGGCGGAGCTTGCAACGGGTATAAAATTATTTCCAAGGATCTTATAATCTTTCTTCATGGCAAGAGAATGTTCCTAAAAATTTCGGGTTTGCACAACATTTCCTAGTTTACTGGAATGTTTCTACCATATTTCAATTTTCTCCTATGAGGACTTTAGCCTTTCCTCCTCTTCAACTTTTTTTGTTTCCAATGCTTGCATTTGGAAGGTTGAGTAGTTATCAAAATGGATTTCTCGTGTTGATGTCCATGTGTCTTTCTGATACTACCTGTCTGTTTCTATTAACTTAACTGTTGATGAGCATATAAATCCTATTTTTTAAGTTTAAGAGCTTTAATTGAGATTGGTATAATTTCTTGTGAACAGATTCAATGTTTCGCTTCTTAGTTGAGAGATGGAAGGATAAGTTGCCTCCCGGATATCTTATTAAAGAAGTATCTATTGATCAACCTTCTGAAGAATCTCCTTGTCGCTGCCACTTTGGTCTCGTTCAAGAAAGTACTATTGCTACTGATCCTGAATTAACCTTGAGATATCAGTGGCTTGTGGCAGACAGAACACTCTCTAGGTTTGTTCCTATTCCCGATGCAACCAAAGAGGTAACCTCACACTTGCCGTTTTTTCACTTGCATGTGTGCACTTTAAATGGATAGCAAAACTAATTGTTTCTGTTATTATTCTGTAATTTATTATAGGTCTATTGGCCAAAGCGCGAAGAGATTGGTAAAATCCTTAAAGTTGAATGTACTCCTGTTCTAGGAGAGACAGAATACCCTCCCATATTTGCCATATCTTCGCCGGTTACACGAGGTATGCTTCTTCAGTAATACGATAAGCTAGGTGGAAGTTTTCTCAAACCTGGCAATATTTGTTTTTGCATCACATATTTTTTTTTTTGGCCATTTGGAATATTATGGGAAGCGTTGTGCAGGAAAGGGAATACCGAGAGTTGTTAGCCTTGAAGTACATGGGGAACTTGTGGAGGGCAGCATTGTTAAGGGTCAAGCAGAGATAGCATGGTGTGGCGGGACACCAGGAAAATGTGTTACCAGGTGGGATTGTCGTTGTAGCTTTTCCTTTTTCTGTAATACATCCATGTTGTGATGAACTTACTATTTCTTGTTTCTTGATCTAAATGCAAATTGATTGGCCATTACCCATATATACTGGTTTTTTGTGGTTTATCGTTTTGTTCCAAGCAGCTGGTTGAGAAGAAAGTGGAACAGCAGTCCGGTTGTGATTACTGGAGCTGAAGATGAGGAATACAGGTTGTCTTTGGATGATGTTGGTTCCAGTTTGGTTTTTATGTACACACCTGTTACCGAGGAAGGTGCCAGAGGAGAACCTCAATACAAGTACACAGATTTCATAAAAGCAGGTGGGAGATAAAGCTCATAATCTTGCAATCTCTATTACCCTTTTCTTAATCTTTTACGTTTTTCAGTAATGATACAACTTACAAGGTCTAAATGATACTGTTTTTGCATCACTGTTGAGTCCTGTATAGTAGCTGTTTCTGCTTGCAATATTTTTATTATGGGTTTATTTATGTCTCTTGTAGTTGATACAGTGATGGATTTTTGGCTGTTCTTATGGTATCTCCTTACGAAAAAGTATAAGCCTGCTGTCTGGTATATTTTTCTGGTTTTAGAGGATTAATTTTGAGTCTTGGTTGCAGCTCTTCCATCTGTAAGTAATGTTCGAATTATTGGGGATGTCATTGAAGGCTGTGTCTTAAAGGGGGTTGGAGATTATTTTGGGGGCAAGGAAGGTCCAAGCAAGTTCGAATGGCTACGCGAGAACAAGGAAACTGGGTAATATTGATGTTCATGTGCATATTTATGCTCTTGAATTGCTCTATTCGGATCTCCTATGTTTTACTGCTAGAAGGATAAGGAAAAGCTTTCCTTTTTTAACATATGATCATTTACGAATATTTGAAAATTGTTTACAGCTCTGTTATCTCTTCCTTTCCTTCTTGTTTCTCAGACTTTGTTTCTTTCATACTGTGTCATCTTTATTTCAGAGACTTGTCATTGGTATCAGCTGGAACATCTGTGTATACATTGACCCAGGAAGATATTGGCAGACATGTCACTTTTGTGTACATACCGACAAACTTTGAGGGTTGGTTCTCTTTCTTTTTCTTTTATCCCTTTCTGATTTGTGACTTTAACCAAGTCACCCACTTAGAGGGTTGGGCACAATTCTGATTTGGTCGGGAAAATTTCAGGACAAGAAGGGGTCCCTGTGTCAACTGCATCCAATGTAATTAAGCAAGGTATGTTCATTACTGTTGTGGAAGGCTGGCTTATATCCTTCTTTTATGAAGGCATTCATGTTGTTAACTTGTTATGTAGTAGGATCATCTTGTTCAGGTTCTGCTTCCTCGTGTATGATTTGTTCTATTTTTTATAGCATAACTATCATCTTCTTTGGGTTTACAGTTTTATAAAAATCTTGAAGAACAAAAATGCTCCTCCTCGAAACTTTGCTATTTTGTTTAAGGATTCTGTTTATATGCATGTCTTTCATTTATTCATCTTTCAATCATAAAATGTTTAGTGAAAAAAATCTGAAATTCCCAGATACCTTTATATTAAAGCTTGATTATTGTTTGAGCAAATTTGTTCCTGTGTTAAAGGTCTTCTATTTTTTCTTGGATATCTTCTCTGCAACCTGTGTTCCCTAGGAAACTGACATTTTCCCCATTTCTAGGATCAACTTAAATTGTTACTTGAAATGATAGGTTTACTATCTCATTATGGGCGGAAACTGTTTTTATGAGCCTGTGACCATTTCTGACTGCATTACCATTATCCATTAGCATTTGTTATCACATGGTCCTTTGAACAATATTGTTCATCCAAATTGTGTTCTTGGTTTCTTATTCACTTTTGCTCACTGACCTGCACTATTTCTTTTTGTTTACATTGTAGCGCCCCCAAAAGTGACAAATATTAAGCTGGTTGGTGACCTAAGTGAGAACAGTAAGGTTATGGCAACAGGTACAGTTACGGGAGGAAGTGAAGGTTCAAGCAGAGTACAGTGGTTCAAATCGAGTTGTTCTACGCTGGAAGGGGAGAAGTTTCTTGAAGCATTGAGCACTTCAAAAGTTGCAAAGGTAGGCTAATGCACAACAGTCGTCAGACAATATTCTCTAAGGATTGTATTTTCCTTTTTAGTACCAGTTAATGTTTGCATGCTAATGTTTTGCCTAGGCATTCCGCATACCTATGGGGGCAGTCGGCTATTACATAGCTGCAAAATATACTCCAATGTCCCCTGATGGTGAATGTGGTGAACCAGTATATGTAATATCCGAAAGAGCAGTCGAGTGTAAGTTAGCAGTTTCTTCTTCATTTCTGTGCTCGTCCAGTTTCCTTTTCTGGTGTTGCGTAGTTTATAAATGCAATAAACTTTTTCTATTTGTAATTATGCATCATCCCTTTTCCTCTCTGTACCCCTGCCCATCTTAAAAATTTGAGTCTCAGTATTCTGTGGTATAGAATGCCTGGTTTTGCAATTCAAATCTTGTTTCATTGTAATGCTTTGTAGTTATTGTTGAAACCTTTGCCCTAAACTCGTTCTCCTTTCAAACTTCCATAATGGGTATAGCCATTTTGTTTGTGTAAAAAGTTTTTCCCACAAAAGTTGGACCAACTTTTGCATATCGAATTAATTAGATTGAGGATATTACTTATTGATGAGCTAGATGTTATCCTTGACACAATCGTACAATTTTCATGTGGGGATCTATTTTTCTCTTGATATCCAATCTTACCTATCTAGTTATATCCTGAAAGTTTAGTGCTTATTCTGATATTTGTCTTCTAACTGGAGCAGTTTTCTTGTTGAACTCTTACTAAATTTGTGCGTACTATTTTGATTTTCACTACTTGTAGCACTTCCTCCCAGCTTGAATTTCCTGTCAATTACTGGAGATAACATTGAGGGTGGACTGTTGACAGCATCCTATGGATACATAGGAGGGCATGAAGGAAGAAGTATATATAAATGGTTTTGTCTCGAGGTATATCCTTCAAGCTTGCACACTTGTAACATCTGAGATTAGATCCTAACCCTGGCTCTTTGGAACCAAATTTATCTAAGTCAGCTAGCTAATTATTTGAATATTGCAGGATGAAAATGACCCTGGTACGTTGATACCTGAGGCCTCTGGGCAACTTCAGTATACCATTACAAAAGAAACTATTGGTAAATTCATTTCCTTTAAATGTACTCCTGTTCGAGATGACGGGATCAAGGGTGAGCCAAGAACGTGCACGGGCCAAGAACGTATTCGTCCAGGTGATGATGCATTGTCCTGTCCTTTCTATATTTATATTCTGTCTCCCATTTTATTTTAAATGTTAGGTAATAGACGGTCATGAACAACTGTGGCATCTATGAAAGTATGTTTCAAACAATTATCACTAGGAATTTCTGATCCCTTAAAGTTACTTTTGACGACTCTTCTTTTCCGATTAAAATTAGTGTCACAGTCTGATCTTTATTTCAGTTTGTTTTGTAGGTGTTAAATAATGCAAATTAGAAATACAATCCCTTTTAGGCATATAAGTGGATAGTCACTCTTTCTCTATTTCTATTATGATAACTTGATTTATTTAACATAACATGAAAACAATCTAGTTATTCAGTCTCCTTTTTGTGTTCAAGAATCAGCTTACTTATGCCTTTCTCGAAATCAGATGATCATAATCACCTTATTTTCCGCAGGAAAAATGGAATTCTACATATTCATGGTCTTGTTTCTGTACAAATACTTTTTTCTTGATTTCACCGTTCATGCAAAAATTGCCTTAAAAGGCCTCTCGTTTTGGGTGGTTCTCTTCGTGTGCAAGTAGCAGTGTCTATAACTATCACCTTCTTACTTTTTCATACTGGTCTGGTCAATTCTGTTCTGCTACCATATGGGTGTTATGTGAATTGATATCCAAGCTTCAAATTGATAATCTTGTCTGATGCAAATGTCTGTTTGATCCAGCCTTCCGAACTTTGATCCAGTATCCAAGTAAATTAGGAAATCCTAGGTATAACTAAAAGTAGAGAGTTGGAAGTGATTTGAAGTAGGAAAGGAGTTATGAAACTGGGACGAAAGGAAGGATAATGTTAGTTGATCACTCCAAGTTAGAAAAGATAATATTGTTTGGTTCACACTTTGTCGTGGATGAAAGTTCGCTTGTCATGAGGAGTTATGCATGATTATTAGGAAGCCCAAGAGTGGTGTCTCTTCGGATCGTTGGAGTTGCTGTTGAAGGGACAATACTATCTGCAGAAAAAGAATATTGGGGTGGTGAAGAAGGCACATCTGTTTTCGGGTGGTTTCGGGTATTGACCTTAGTACTTCTAAACTTTCAAAACCATTTTAGGCTGGCTGTTCATTTCTTCTTGGGTGGGCTTATGCATGCATCTCTGACACCTATGCACTAAATGGTGCTCGAGAGTTTCAAAACCATTAGAGGCAACATAATCTTTTATTCAACGGTTGAGCAATCTGCATGACCATTCTCTTCAGTTTGATGTTTTATTAAGTGAGCTTTTCTCTACAGGCTAGTTCAGATGGCTCCCCATGCGAAATCAAAGGCGCCACTACCCCATCATATCAACTCTCAGTGGATGATATAGGTTTCTTCATTTCAGTTTCATGTGAGCCTGTCAGAAATGACAGGGCTCGTGGACCCATAGTTCTTTCTCAACTAATTGGACCAATCATAGCTGGTAAATTCTCTCGTGATCAACATTTCTATTGTGTTTCTTATTTATTTATTTATTTATTTTTCACCGACTCTTGTAGTACCCAAGGGGGTAGTCATCTCAATGCATGAGATGATTCTTGTTTCAGATGGGCTCATCTTGTGGACCTTTCTGTGATGCAGGCCCCCCTACTTGTCAGTCACTGGAGTTTCTTGGATCAATGATTGAAGGACAACGCTTGAGCTTTGTTGCTTCATATATTGGAGGGTAAGCGCTTGGAGAACTGGTGGTAGATACTTAGAAAACTTGTTAAAAACTCACAAGATAATTGGATAAGGGAGCAGCTGAATCTCTTATCTTACTGTACAACTAAATTAACGTCTTCCAATACAGGATAAAGGGAATTTGCCACCATGAATGGTTTAGGGTGAATGATAATGATGTTAAGGAGAAATTGAGTAATGATGGTAAGTTTGATCCCTTTTCTCGTAGCATGGTTATTTTGTTAAGGTTTCTTGCTGTTTCCTTTGAAATTAGCTCCTAACTAGTCAAAATGTTCTCTGAGCAGAATTTTTGGATTTATCGCTGGAGGATGTTGGGAAAAGAATTGAACTTGTCTACACTCCTGTCCGGGAGGATAGAATAAAAGGCAATCCTAGAGGAGGGAGAGAGAGAGAGAGAGAGAGAGAGAGAGAGAGAGAGAGAGAGAGAGAGAGAGAGGCCTGAGATACGTCACCGCTTACGACGAAGATGTAAGTAAATATATTGAGGCTGAAAGTCGGAGACTTTTTTTTCAGGAGAAAAATTCAAGCCACCATAATACAAAATGAAATTTACAAATATTATGAAATCATAGCTTTTTTTTATTGCAGAGTGCAAAAAGTCACTTGTATTTTACAAAATCAGAATCAGGTATGACCAGTGAATCTTACAAAATACGGAATTTTTCTCGATTTGAACTGTTTTAAATTCTCGATCGATATTATTTTTACGAAACTGAATTTTATGAAACCGAAACGAAAAAAATCCCAAAAACCCGAAAAATTTTAAAATATATATATCTTTTTTAATAAAAACCAAAATCGAACTGAATATAATATAAAACCGATTGATATCTATTTTTGTAAAACCGAAAAAACCGAACCGATTCCCGAAACTCTACCGTCTATTACAGAAGTCATTATTTTTTTCTGAAATTTAAAGACTTTTACGAGTTATTATTAAAAAATAATGCTATACATATATATATATATATATAGTTAAAAACCATTGGGATCACCAATAACCAGTGATGATCTTTTAGCATAGTGATTATGATCTAAGATTGTCATGATTTCGTTGGCGCAAGGGCAAAAGAGTCATTGGAATTAAAAAAAAAAAAGGTCCGCATTTTAGCTGAGCAATCATGATTAACGCAGGGGTATTCTAGTCCTTTTCTTCGATACCATTTGGCATTTGCAACTAGAAAAATTCCACGTCGACAATTTACTCTCAGTTAGTAACGAGGTAAACTTGGAAAATACAGCGTGAAAAATTTATTACTACGGAATAATAGGGTTTAGTTAAGTTATCTCCTAAATTTGGGACTATGCCATAAAAACAGGATATTCAACTATCAAGACATCATTATAGCATAATAAATATTTAAAAATGGTAGGCACGCAAAATAATATATAGTTATTAATATGTATTTGTATTATATTATATTATATTAAAGGGTTTTTATGGAGCAAGAATAGAATAAAAGTTTTGTACCATTTTTGGATGCTTATCACCACATCTTAGAGATAACCCTCTTTTGGAACTCGACCAATGAATATAGAATCTCTTTTATCTTCACAAGCCATGTAGAACGTTGTTGTTATTCGATTTGTATTTTTTGCCACTTAAATTTTGTGATTATTTTAGTCCAATTGTAATTTTATTTTAATGTTTGTTATTACACGAATCATGTTATGGAAAGGAGACCAGGCTTCACAAACGTATGTATATATATAATATATAACCAAGAACTCACGGTTTATTAATATATATATATATATATACATATATAAGTGAATATGATTAATGAAAATAAAATAATGATTTTGTCCATATTGGGCGAAGGATAAATTTGGTGAAATTGGTGGGTCTCTTTTTCATCGTTGTCCTGCACACTTTTCCTTGTCGAATTTAACAATCTGAACACAGAAAACGGCCTTTTCACGCAATCAGACAAAACTAGCAAAAAAAAGTAACAACATTTGCCTGAATTCAATTTTCAGATTTTACCCTTTATTATTATTATTATTATTATTATTATTATTATTATTCCATCAACCCACACAAAATGTTGATCTGAGGATACAATATTTTGGGCTTGTGACCGAATTATTTTAAAATATATATATGGTCTTACATACAAAAAAAGAAAATAAATGCTATTTAACATGATCCATGCAGAAGATGTGAAATTGGGCCTAGAGCCCAGTTTATTGGGCCATATCCCTTCCACTGGACTCACATATTTTCATTGCCCGGGCCCAAAACAAGTATCTCGACGTTTTAAACATATTCCAAGTCTATAGACTCTACTAATTTTGATTTTGATTTCTTTATTAGTTTCGAAATGAAAAAAAAAACAAATACGATTAGGTTCAATCTTTCCGAGTTTTTTTTTTTATAATTTGGATTCGAAATATTTATTGTTTCTCAAAAGTAACGAATTCAGAAAATATTACCAACAAAATAGATAGAGTTTGGTTATAAAAAACTTCGAAACATAATATTTATTTATGTTTTTAAGTAAATAACGTTATGACGATTAATTTACAGAGCACCGATGTTCTTGAGACCGAGGACAACTCCGACGCCGATGATGTGTCCGACGGTCCCACATGCCAACGTGTCAGCGAGCGTGAACCCGGCCGGGTCACCCGTTTGCAGGCCCGAGTCACGGGCCTCGAGTTTCAGTCCGGCTGTCGCCTTCCTATTGGCCGATGGAGCCAGACCGAATCTTCCCGCGAACAGCATCAGAGTCGTCGACGTCACCATTATCTGACATTAATCAAACGTTTACACATTAATTAATTGACTAATTAATCGTGATTAATATTAACATGTTAATTATTTTTAAAAAAAAAAATCCGGGTGTTTTACCAAATTTGTGGGTGAACCAATAAAGTCGCATCTTGCACCCAAAGCTCCATTTCCCTTGCGTCTCATTGGTTGAACAGCACCCTGAAAAAAACAAATACATTGTAAATAAATAAATAAATATTTTTTTCTCATAAATCAAACAGCATTTCAGCTTTTTAAACGATTTTTCTCTTATATTTGTGGTTTAACTTGATATTTAATACTTATCAAGTCTATAAATAATAATAATCATTATCCTGATAAACTACATCGATAATACAAACAGAACTTGATTTCCAATATTTATAAAATTAATCAGCTGACATTTCTAAAACTAATTTCAAATATACAAGCTACAATTGTAGATCCTCACATAAAATCCCAATATTAACCGTTCTGATATTCATACGGTTTAAAATTGCATGTTTATAAAGAATAAATAACGAACCGGGCCATGAACCGGAGATGCAAAGATCTTGCGAGTTCTCAGACCGTTGAATTGAGGAAGTGACGTCATCACAGTGCTTGCCATTTCTCCGATGACTTCTGTGTTTTTTTTTTCCTTTTTTTTTTGCGCGAAGCTCTTAAAATGAATAAAGCATTGAGAGAGTTTCAGACAGCCACATAAAGCATCCTGTGGCTTCGGAGATCGGCAGATAACGGATATGTCTCTGGGGTCTTTTATTGCTGACGTGTCATGTTCTGATTTGCTATTTGGGTTGTTCGAATGTGGATAAGGTTTTTCAGGGAAGATTCTTCTCCTCCTATGTATGGGCTTTTCATATTGGGCCCAAAATGGGCCCAATAAATCAAAATTTTAGACTAGTTATATTTAAAAAAAATTAACAAAAAAGCATTTATTTTCATAAAAAACGAATAAAACTAGTGTATTTATTAAACCATACAAAATATATTAATGCTAGTGACAAGTCTTCAAAAGTCTCTTTAAATAATAATATTAATGATACTACTAATAATAATCCTTCATCTGAATCATCCAAAACCCGAATACTCTATTGTTTTCTTTGAGCTTGTGAACGTATTTGATATAAAAAAAACGACTATAAAATCGTATATCTCACTGTTATTTATGATTAAATGGACAAACCAACTCAAATGAATTATTGTTTTATTATATAAGTAATTTAACACGATTAAAAAAAACAGATTGTTTTCTATCTTATAATTTTCTAAAAACATTTCAATTTTCAAGGCTTTTTTAGTCATAAAAAAGAAAAATATAATTGGGCCAACACATAATACGGGCTATCATGTTGGTTCTTTAAATTATATGGGCCTTCACCCTGGGTTGGGCCTGCTTACATCTAAGTCCATGATTGTATTTCAAGAATATATTAATATTCAAACGTCGAGATTTTAAAATATACGATAAAGGAAAATCGAAATGAAGAATTATCTCTATTTAACTCATTAAGGTATTGTTTAAATATATTTTTAAACATCGGTTATTATGTAACTCACTTGTGTGAGTACTAGTTATAACATATGTTAAGTTTTTTTAGGTAACTTTTTCTATAAATTAATATGAAAATATAATACATATATATATATATATATATGTATATCGGTAAGAAAATCACCTCATTTTTTTATCTTCCAAATATCGTTTCACCAAGTCTGTATAGATATTCGAATATCTTGAATACATTACATGTTCACAACTGAATATCTGAAAGCTATAAATTCGAGATTGAATTCCATATCATAGAATTCGAATAATTTGAATTATGATAAGATAATTTCGATATCTTATCTATCTGATTCGAAGTACGACTAGAGAATAAGAATCCGGTTGAAGGGCATGTAGCGTGAACAATAGCTTATATCGCATTTGTAAGTTCTTTTAAAGTATAATAAATTTTAATATATTTCCAAATCATTATACTGTACAGGTAGGAACCAGATGTATAACCTTTATTTTATTCTTTTGTGGCCCTACCTCGTTGATATGATTCCACTACTATATCTTAAAAGTGCATGCTTATGTATAATTAATTTATAAATAAAACAATAGAAACACAGTCTATTACTTTTAAAATATCTAAACCCGAATTCGTATTTTGAATTGCGTATCAGTTTAAATTCGGAGTTTATGCTATTACTCTGATACAACCGAGAAACGTCTCAGTAATATATATATATATATATATATGTATGTATGTATATATATATATATATTTGTGCCAGCTATTCTCGCTTCCTTGTGATTCATGAACGAGATACTCGACGAGTTATTGAATTACTCGATGTATTATATTTTATTACAGCAATTTTCTTATGTTTTATTCGGGGTTATTAGGATTTTATAGTCTATAATCGTACGATTAATATATACATATATAATATATTGATAAAATCTATGATCAATTGTGTTGGTCTATGTAATTTTTCTAATCATCATTTGGATTCTTATTTACGCCTGTGATCATTCAAGTTTCTAGCTAATATCTACACGCACAATATGTATATATATATATATACATACGTGTGTGTGTGTGATTTTAATACCGTGACCCACAAATTTATCGGTATGTAGGTGGTACATCGTAAACCTATTGGTTGGCCAAAATCATAAGTGCGCGAAAAAAGGTACATCCTTTCTATAAATTTCGTCACTATTATACTTTCCATAAACAAAAATATTATCATTTAAATTAGAAACTTTTATTTAAAACTAAAATTAAATGTATCGAACCATTTTCCCATTTTTTTTATATAGAGTGATGAATTATGCATCCTATATATAAAAAAGGGTTTAATATATATAGAAGTCTAAGAAGGGTAATAATTAGGGTTTTTTCTTAAATGTTTATGCAAACATTTTTTAGTGCGTCGCGTACCATTTTCCCATTGTATTTGGTAGTTCCAACATCTATGACTTCCTAGTTAATTGTACTATATGTTATATTTAGAGTTTGAAGTTTCAATGATATCTAGAGGGAGATAATAAATTATTGAATAATTTCATATATTTATTTAATAAACGCATTTAAGAAGCTGATGTGACAGAATTGGTTCCTATATTCAATGCACTTCTATATCCAACACGACGCATTTGACTCTTACTTGGATTTCACATTCTCCAAAGTGTGTGATGATTTGAATCCATCTTATATTTATACACACACACACTTGTATATACATATATAATATAATACATTTTTTTGATGAAAATATAATACATGCACATATCGTCTCAATCCATTTTAAAATCTTGTAAATCGAATCTTATATGATTTTATAAGTCGACACCTCGGAAGACTTAAAACATCCACACGTCTTTGAGGAATATTATATCTATATATAATGCAAGTATCGGTAACTTTGACCCAAGTATCTGTAACTTTGACCCAATTAGTAGCAGGCAAGTGGTTTAATTGGTGTGCTCTTTGGGTCCTAGGTCACGATTTCGATTCCAACTGTTAGAGAGGGAGGGGGATAATTTCTCGGTTGGGAGGGTGTTGTTCTCTGGGCCTCTGTCGGCAGATCCCTTAAGGCTACTCACGGGCCTAGATGGATGTAGGTTGAGTCGAAGAACTAGATGAATTTCCTGATTAAAAAAAAATATCCGAACCTTGGGTGATTCATCGAACGCGAGTATTTTTTAGGTGTTCGAGTCTTAGATCGTGGTGAACATTTGAAATTGGGGTGCCGATTTTCATAAGACAGAAATCTAATATTTCATTGAAAATGTTGAAAGCGAAATTGAATATATATGTTAACGAATATCTTACACAACTATCTCTAATGTCACGGTATAATTTCAATGTACCATACACTCTCTTAATAAATAAAATATTTGAGATGGATTTGACACCAAAAATCATATATATATATATATATATATATATAGAGCATTTTATTATGAGTGTTTCAATTGAATAAAAATGGATGGACCAAAGGGTAGGCACGCAAAGAAAATGTTGAAAGCGAAATTGAATATATATGTTAACGAATATCTTACACAACTATCTCTAATGTCACGGTATAATTTCAATGTACCATACACTCTCTTAATAAATAAAATATTTGAGATGGATTTGACACCAAAAATCATATATATATATATATATATATATATAGAGCATTTTATTATGAGTGTTTCAATTGAATAAAAATGGATGGACCAAAGGATAGGGAAGGGTCGGTCCACTTTGGACATTTACCTGAATGATGTTGAAATGATGGGAGATGCAAACTCTTCGTCAAACATATATATATATATATATATATATATGTGTGTGTGTGGTGATACCTACCTTAACAACAGATTACTGGCTTGATGGATTAATTAAGGAAATGATTACTCACTCGAAACATGATTAAGAATGTTTTCAAACAGAATGATTTGCCTTTCCTTTCGTGCTGTTCAGTTTGTGTTTGATTGTCGCCCGTTAAGACTCATGATTTCTTTTTCTCCTGCAGGAATTAATACCCGATTTTGTTGACCAATCAAGAAGTATATGGAACTATTCATGTTGCATTCAATTTATATAATATTATTGCCAACAAAATTATACATACGGTATATGTATTTTTTTGGATAATCGAATGTTACACTAATTTCGAAATCGTATGATTTAGAATATAGATCTCTTCTCAAACTTGAAATTCGAATTCGAAATCGTCATTTCATCGGTTCAACTAATCAAATTTGGATTGTATATATAATCATTCGTATTTGAAAAATATATATATATTTTTATTCCATCTCGACAATTTATATTTTCTAAAAAAAAAGGAAAAAGTATATGCCATATTAAATAAAGTGAGTGATTTGTTTTTTTGTAAAACTATTACGCATTAATTAAAAGATTGGAATCGGGTACGTTTGACTAAAACTTTCACGTTTCTGGAAACTGCTCAAACATGGGAAAAGAAAAGAACCAATAAAAAAAAGGATTATTGTTTAAATTAATTAAGCAAAGCACCAGCGTTGCAGTCTTAATTAGCACTAATCACAAGGCTTGGAATGAAAGTAAGACAAAGGTTATTAATCAATGTCTTTTTGTTCTTAAATTATCTCCTCAGTAATCATTGTTAATGAGCTCTTTTAAGAATCCTCTTTTAATTTTTTTTCCCTTTGTCAATTTGGTTGCTTGATTAAGGGTGTGGGTCCCATTGATTTAATTTAAAACATCATAGTTAGCATTTTTTTTTTTGCGTGTTCTCAATTCTTGTCTCTCTCTTTTTTTGTCATGATCTAATTCTCTTACGAGGTTACAAATAAAATCTTTGTTGGGATGTTTTGTTTAATATTATGTCTACAAGTTCTATAATTCCACTTCCATGTATCTGACCTACTTTGTTTAAATTAACTCACAATATTATTTTGTAAAATTATTTAAAAGTATTTAAAATGATATGACGATATGAGTCGCATATGCCAAATCCGTACGCACTATATATATATATATATACATATATTCATTAATTGCTAAATTGAGTCTTCTTATTCATATTTCATATTCATTACTTGGTAATCCATTGGTTGAAAAATGACAAAATCATTTCGAAGTTTTGAATTCGATTCTACTAATAGGGAAGAATGACGTAATTAATTGAATGACTAAAAACTGATTTCGGATTCAGA